GCAAATGGCCCGCGGGCCGGACTTTGGACATGCCTGGTTTAAGACAACCTGTCTTAAACAATGAGAGTTCTTAAATTGAATGACTAGCAAATAAATAAATAAAGCCTGATCCCATATTCACAACATGCTTTCATGATAGAAGCAGAAACTATATTATTGTCATTAGGTTAAAATACATGATTTGTGTAGTGGTTGATCTGTGAATGCTGATGCATGCCTATAAGTTGCATAACTAACCTATGCCAACAACGTTCTTGATTTCACTATAGTGCATACAAAGAGAAAATTTCCTGTATGGAAAATCATCCCAAAGATCTAGAGGAACAGGATAACCAACAGATAAAATGCCAGGCTGGATAATACCTGCTTCTAAATGCAAATGTGAACACCTATCCTATATAAGTTGTCATGCATAGTATTAGTTGCCCTTTGCATCTAAATATTAGCTTACTGAATTGATAACTGATAATCAGTCAATCAATCAAGTTATTGTCCATTTCCAAATAGGCTTTATTTTATAGTTTAATGAAGAGAAGGACGAGGGGGGACATGATAGCAGTGTTCCAATATCTCAGGGGTTGCCACAAAGAAGAGGGAGTCAAGCTATTCTCTAAAGCACCTGAAGGCAAGACAAGAAGCAATGGATGGAAACTAATCAAAGAGAGAAGCAACCTAGAACTAAGGAGAAATTTCCTGACAGTTAGAATAATTAATCAGTGGAACAATCTGCCTCCAGAAGCTGTGAATGCTCCAACACTGAACGTTTTTAAGAAGAGACTGGACAACTATTTGTCTGAAATGGTATAGGGTTGTACTAGAATATCTCAAAGGTCCTTTCCAACTATTATTATTATTATTGTTGTTGTTATTATTATTATTATTATTAACAATCACCAAGTAAATCAGTTCCAGGTAAATTAATATACAAATTATTGTTATCGTGTTGTATTTCATATGCTGTGCAATAATTCTACATATCTTTTCCATTACATATATATATATATATAAGCTTGGACATACAAACTACATATAAATGGATAAATTAGAAGGCACCTTGATTTAAGAATCACAACTACATAAAGGAAAAAAGAATATGATGGAGAAAAAATAAAGTTCATTTCTTACATGTATCCATTGGAAGCAACCAAATCAGCAATATATCTAGTATTTGGGAGTTGCCATCCAAATATATCATGAATCACAATTACAGCTGCATCGGTCTGGAAAGAGGGCTTCTTTACATAGGCCTTAATATGCTCAATTGATACTTCTTGTCCAAGAGGTTGATAATCAAACACATCTCCAAGGTCACATGGACAAAATTTAGGCTTATCTGCCATCTGTAAAATGTAAAGGAACATCTGGGAGACAATTCTTTAGCGTGTCTATAGATGCTATTCTCTGCAGATGACGGGTGCATGCATATATTCTGTAATTTACAGATTTAAAAATGGAACTACACATATGTCCTGAGACAGATCATTACACTAATTTACCAATAATTTAATAGCTACAGTAATGTATTTAGAATTAAACATCCAAACCAAACCAAACATCCAAAACCTGATTTATTTTTCAATTGTGTCTTACTATCATCTTTGAGTCACATGGGATTATGGTAATACAAGATATATGTTGAGTGTCTTAATGAGAAAGAGACAGACAAGATTTATCATTTCTGGATATTGTGTGAAGAAAATTTAAGTGAAGGATGCCACAATCGGTAGGATTTGTTTTTTAAAAAATAGCTTTATTTGTTAGAAATGCAGATAGAAGTAAGCTGAGTTTTGTGAAGGTTAATGTTACTTGACTAAACTATATAGAGAGGTAGAGGTAGAGAAATGTGATCACCTCTGCACAGCTTAAAACAAAACTGCTTCTACTAAGCAACTCTCGGCATAAATGGACAGTCACCTGCTTCCATGTGAGAACAAGGTAAAGACTTTTAAATATCTAAGAGGCCACTTTTAGCTCTCAACTTACCAGGCACGTCAGACTCATGAAGGCTGTTCAGTAAAAGATCTTAAGCAATTTTAATATTAATAGGTATTATAGATTGGAGCTCCTAGACATAGAGTACAAACTTTAATAGGAAATATGCATCTACAGAGGAAGTAGTTTTTCATTGTATACTCTGTCAGAACCACATGCAAGAAGTGAGCTTGACTGTTATTCAAAGGTATTTCATAACACAAATCAGACCCACTTACCTTTGACTTTGAGTTTCCTTGTAGTAATCATATCCCTAGACATTGATGACCTTTGTTTTTCCTATACATGCTTTTGCCTATAGAATGTTGCTGAACATATCTATGTTTGCTTGACCTGGCTTTGCAAACCTAGAATACATTTTGGAGCCTGAAATACTCTAGTGTCTTGCTTGAGTAGAGAAAACAAACCTCATCTTGAGACTGGAGAGAAAACTTGTACTGTAAGTCACAAATAGGATTGAAATTCAGGAGTTCCCTTTTCAATGTTTTCCCCCAACATTGCTCAGGCCCAAAAGGCCAATGCAAACATTAAATCCTCCAGCTGTAACAGAAGTATCTCATTCTCACTTGCTATTAAATTATGTAATGTTAACAGGTGAAGTCTTTTAGTTTTTGGTCCCCAGTTCAGTCTTAACTGCAACAATTTCCATCTCAAAGCTTTCAATCAAATTATGTAGAATTTTATTATGAATCCCCATTCTACCTGACTTGCTTCTTTGAAAATTTGCTGCTGGCTAATTTATCATTAATCCCATTTATATTTCTTCAGAACTTTTATTTCCTTTTAGGGTAAATGTTGTTAAAGATCTTCAGTTTTACTATCACTTAGCCTGGATAAAACTCTCTAAGTAGTTAGACAAAGAATCTTTTATTGGATGAGCAGAATAAGAGGGTCTTCTTTATTTCTTAACTTTGTAAACTATCCTTGCTCTTGCCACGTCACTTCATTCCCATTTATTCTTTAAATGTCTCATGTCTCTCTTTCTGAATCAATTTCATACAAGCCCTACATTCTCAGTCTTTCCCTTCCTCTCCACCCATTCACTTATCCTTTTTGTTTTCAAGTTTGTTTCCTTTTTGATCTGTTCAAATCATCTCTCAGTATACTTCTTTGGAATGGTTCACTCACTTTTTCATCAATCCACATTCCATCTTCATGCATTTAATGCTGACCCACTTTCTTCTTCACATCCACTTCTTCAGCAATTCATTCCTACCATATTCAACATACTTTTGTACATTTTACATGCCTTGTTGCCTTTTATGATTACAAAGTAGAAAGAAGCAAACTCATATGCTCACCCATTTTCACTTCTTTTGACTTCATTCCTTGCAACCATATGTTATCAATTACCTTTCTAGCAGGATTTGCACATTTTAAACATTTCCTCACCGTTAGTAAACATTCTATCAAGGTTCACAATTTTGACTTCTTGCTCAAATTTTCACTGTTTCTATATATCCCATAATTTTTCTTTTTATTACCCCTGTCACACACATTCTTGATCTTTGTAATATTATCTTTCAAATCCATAATCCTCATTGTATCATGCATTTTATCTAACATTCACTGTAAATGATTTGGAATGTCTCTTCACCAGTAAAAAGGCATCATCCATATCCAAAGTATTTATACCTGCTGTTAACATATTTCTGTCACAATAAGGATCCTTATATGGTTCTCCATAAATACATTACAATATCAAGGCAATATCACATATCTTAATTTAGATCTCACTTAAGCATTCAATTTATCTCATATACCCTTTATTCACATTCTATATCTTACTGCATTCAGCAGCTGTCTTTCACTCATCTGTGCAAAACATTCTAGAAATGAAACTATAATATGCTTCCAACCCACAGTCAACTTTCTTTCTCCCTTCCATACATTTGGTTATGATCTCCTAAAGAGCAAATCTAGTCTGCACACTTCCTGCCTAACAGAAATCTATTGCACTTCCCAAATTTGCTTATTGTTACCTCTCATACCTTTTTGATCAGAATCCTGCCAAATACCTTCCTGGGCAGTCTTAAGAAACTAATTCCCCTGTAGTTTTTCCATATCTTTTTGTTTATCTTTTCTTCAATATGACAGAAAAAGTAAGGCATTAGCATTTCAGCTACCCATTTAACCTTTCTC